GATTTGGGCCACTTTCATACGTGGTCCAAATCCAATTCAGGTCTGATTTTTTCCAGTGCGACCTCAGTGTGAACAGTCATATCAGAGTCTTGAGAAGAGGTGCTGACAGATGTAGTTCTCACTGACAACAGCATCCTTCTGACATTATGAAATTTCTGTGAAATCATTCACGTAACAATCCCACCGCTTACAGCTCCACATTCAAACACACTAAAATCTGTTTGTCTTTCTCCCCTTCCTTGTTGTCATCTGCTCTTCATTGTCTAGCTACTTTCATCATCTTTTAAATGACACCATACAAGCGGACTTCAGTGGCCTCCATGTTTACTTTACTAAGTGTGTGACGTCTTTGGACTTCAGCTCTGCTTTTAACACCATCATCCCAGCTCACTGTGCCTCTAGAACGTCTCTCTGCCGTCACTCTCGACAGCTCACCTCGCAATCAACCGGGTGTCGGGTTGCAGACGCTGCGCTGCTGCATAAATGGCCCGTTTCCATGCCGACGTAACGCGAGAACCTGCGGCTGAATTATTCAGCAGTGCTGACGCCAAGGCAGGTGAAAGAATAAGCGGTGACCTTCCATCATGAGAAAGAGACACACAGCCTATACATCCGCATGGAGAACTCCTGTTGTTCCTGTCAAGGTCACCGCACTGACAGTTTAGCACCTTCAGTTGAGCCTCATCAAACAATCACACTTTTCAGAATCCAAGAACTTTTCAATAACTATCAAGGTCTGGTTTTGTGGAATATAGGGACTGGAAATTTGCATACTGTCATAAAATAGGTTGAGAAAAATAGTCCCCATCTCATCAAGACGTAAGATGGTGATGAACAAAGATCCAGACTCATGAATTTCGTTGCTATAATACAAAAATTGGTTACTTTCAATTTACAGCATTTTCATTTAATTCTATCAATTCCATTTTTTCTGTCTCTTAAAAATCTCTTTTTGTGGTGACATAATCTTCAGCACGCTGCACACTTACCAAACGATATAAGTTGTTACGATATTCTGCTTTATGATGTTACAGAAACTGTGAAATGCTGATCCCATTGTTCTGATTTCAGACTTTATTCATATGGTGGTGTGTTCTTTACACTAAGACGGTTTTCATAAAATGTTATATTTAAAGGCTTACAGTATTGCAATATATTGAATCCTAACCCCTGTATCAGGATATGTATCGTATCTTGCCAATATACAGCCATATTACTGTGATTTATGTGCTTCATAAACTGTGTGATTGAGTTTAGCTTTAAAAATATACAAAATGACAAAATATTTGAACCATGTACCTAAATGGAAACATGAAAGAAATAAATGAAATTTAAACCTCACCTCCAAAACCAGTGTAATTGTATTGTAGTGTAACTGTAAATAATCCAGATGGGAAGGTTTTAATAGTGGGAGAACGGAACAGGTCATTGAGCCACACTGCATGACTTTTCTTCAAATATTGAATAGTAAGAAGCCCAGATGAAAATAAATTAAGACAGCCTTAACTTCAGCTTGACATTTTCTCATTTACTGTCAAGTCTCCAGAGCTTTTCAAAACGTCTTGTGTTTTTATGGGGTTTTATGAGGCAAGTACTTTTTTAATATGATTTTTAAGCAATTCATGTTTATCCTCGATGAACACTGGAAAACCTGCTTTCACTAATGAGAACAACGATCCTCGACATGAAACATCCAAATTGAGACAACAAAAATAAAACAGGAAGATGTAGTCAATGCAGGCATCCATGAAAAGCTCTCCATTCCAGACAAGATGGGAGGGGATTTATCATCGCTCTGTTACCCAGGATCCCCTGAGAAGGCACTGTGTTTTGTGATCCTCAATGCTCAAAATGTGTGGTTTCCTCACTAAAAGGAAGTCTCTTCCACCAAAATGCTAGTTTAAATAATCCAGTGTTTGCTCTCAGTGGTCCCACTAGTCTTCTACTGCCCTACTGGAGGTATCGCTGTACTCAATTAGTTCAGTTTATACTTCCCATCTACTCATTTCTCTCCATATGAATGGTATAATCCACCTACCATGTTGACGGCATCCTGGTCGAAAGGGTTCCACTCCACATTCTCAGGGTAGCGTGCCAGAACTTTGGACTTGAAGGTCCTCTTCAGGGGGCTCTGCTCAAAGTTTTCACCTGGAAAGACACGGGACAAAGCAGGTTAGAACCATGACTACCAGCTGAACATGTCAACCCCCAAACAATCTTTATTATATTGAAATGAAGCTTTAAATATCCATTTGGCACTGGCTCAGTCTGTTCGGGGGCAGACGAAGCAGCACTGAGGGGATGACCTCATGTACAGTATGTGACAGTGTGGATGGAGCTTTTCTCTGACAGCTACTCTGGCTGCATGCATGAGATTCCTCTTTGTCGGCAGCTGGACTGCTTTCCATTTCCCCTATCCCCCATATCAACACACGCACACACACATATGAATGGGAATCCAAGTCTGGTTCCAAATGATCCAATCCATCAGAACTATATGCCAAGCTTATTAATTCCTTTTATTGACGGCAGTATGTTTTTTGGCAGTTGTGCAGAGCAAAAAATCCTGTCAAACTCATGTGTCTACACACATAAAGCGTGGCATCATTTCACAAAGAAAGATGACACCAGTGAGTGTTGTTGGCCTCATCATTCCAGCTTTGAAAAATGTGTCATCTCTAAAGCTGGGACCAGATACAACATTTCTATCTTTTTTTAATGGTCAGTTTAGAGTGTTAATCTACACGTTGAACTGTGGCCAAACAAAGCATACAGTATTTCTTGACTTCAGGGTGTCAGTAAAGATCAAATTATATTCTCTGTGCCTGAATGGCTGTGCCAATGCATGGCTCTGTGAGGCTTGTGGCTGGATTTGGACACAAATGCTAATGTTAGCATGCTAAACATGCTCACAATAACAATATTAACATACTGATGTTCATGCTGCAAGATTTATAGGCCAGGAAATCAGTGCAGCACTACTGTAATACATTATAATGCTGTTTGTCACATATTTGGATGTTGCACTTGGCCATATTGCAATTTCAATAATATTTCAATTGTGCAGCCCTAATGTGAGGCATCCATAACAGCCCTGTTTTCACCCATTTACTGAGATTTCATTGTATGTGTGTGTGTGTGTGTGTGAGTGAGAGAGACAGACAGTTGTCCCAGCAGCATAGCAGAGACAAACTATGTCTAATGCAGGACAGCCCAACAGCTGCTCAGGACACAACAGCCGTCCAACCAGAGCTGGTTATATGATCTATTTTCCCACTACTTCCATTTCTTCCAGTACAACTGCGTCCACCACAGGACTTTCTCCACTGGTTTCTGTTTATGCACCACTGAACTACATTCACATCATTGCTCTGGGTGACTGAGAAACAGAAGATTATTATGCTGTGCTGGGCTTATTCTAAATTGCTGAGTCGCAGCGTCAGCAGTGCTCTATGTGTAAATTGGAAACACTCAGGAGAAATTGTTTGGAAGATTCCAATTGTCTTTCCCTCAGCTGTGTGGTAATTCATACAGGAGAGCCCTGGGAGAAGCACAAATGTTAAGGTAGCGGTAGGTGTAAACAGTATTATGGTATAATGGCATCACTGGTCTGAATAAAAGTGTGTTCTAGTCCTCGGGGGGGCCATGATAGATTTATGGAAGAAAAGCCTTTTGATGAAGGATATCTGCTATTCATCATCTATGTCTGGATGGACGCTGCATTACCTCTATCCATGGTGTGTTTGATTTAACAGGAAAACCGGCAACATGGACAATAAATGCTTTCAAGCGAGAAAAGAAAGGATCTGTTCACTAAAACCACAAAAATATATATAATATCCTGTCAACAGATTTCATATAGACTGTTTCTTCAGTAGAAAGTAGTTCCACAGGTTGACGGCATATTCTGTGGAAAAGTGAGGAGGGTTTTCTTTTAATGTGACAACACGAACAAAATTCCATTTACTTCCATTGTACTGGGGTAAAAGCTAGGGTTGAGCGAGATGAGCTGAAACAAGTATCTGGTATGGATAATGTACTTTTTACAGGTACAATGTGACAGGAGTAAAATGTGTCAATAGCCGTTTTCTACTAACTACCTAGTGTCTTCCAAAATAAATAAATAATAATAATAATTTAAATGGTTTTTTGGTAATTTGGGTAAACTGATAGTATAAAAAGTAATACAAATAATGTGATTCATTGGTTATCCATGGTGCAAATTCTCTCTTTGACAGTCAACTACAGTCTAGTGATATGTGAGGTGAAAGCCATTTAGAATCAATTCAGTACAATAAATGTTTAACCCCTGTGGAACAATTAAAACGATCACAAAAGACAAAGATCTCAGGGGGATTTTAGCAGGGTAAATACTTTCTGAATCAAAGGTTTAAACTTTTTGGCTGGTGAAATGCTGATGGTGCTCTGATACTGCAGCTCTGTAATGACTCTCTGTGGGTTATTAAATCTAACCACTCATCCACACACTATTTCATTTCCTTTCAGTGACCAGACTTCCAACGGTCCCGCTACACTGTGGAGACTAACCTGCATTGATTTCAGATAAGTGAATGGGCTCTGGAACTGGGAGTGCTGGTGGTGGAAGAGAGTTTGGGCCTTTCTATGATAAGAGCGAGGTCAGGAGGTTACTGAAGAGGAGCAGATAAAGGAGGAGGAGCAGGCAAATCGTTTTGAATGTTTAATGATTGATCATGCCGTGGTGGGCCCTGTCACCATTGGATCAATAAGGGTTTTGTGTGAGATATGGCTAACAAGAATGCAAATGAGAAAAAACTAACAACAAAAAAAATCTGTTCCCACATGAACAGGCTCTCTCCCACACAAAATATTCAAAAATATATTAATGTCATGGTTCTTTATAGCCTCAACCATTTTCATCTATTTATACAGCATGAAGGGGCTGAACTCTGATTTGTCGTACAACCTTGTGTTGTACAGTGATCCTCTACGCACTCACACTTGAAATCCTGCACAGTCTGCCCTGCACCCTCTTTAATACACACACCACACAAAAGAACTCAATGCATGTTTTGCCTTGACAACCTTGTGAAGTCACCCAATGTAATATGTTCCATCTTGTCTCATCTGTTTAGTTTACGTTTCATCCTCAAAAAGTAGCCAGGATCGTTATCTCAGCAGAGGCCTTTATTTGAAACAGGTGTATGTTATACATACCTCCCAATTTCCCCTGTTTTTAAGAATTTGTATCATATTATACTAAGATTTAACACTCCTTCTATGTTTAACTGTTAATAAATTCAGTGTAATGCACATTTCTATATAGTTTTTCTCCATGTCGGATACGGTCAGATTCCTCTTGAAATCAATGAAATGAGGTAGTAGAAACAATACAACTTCTGTCCACAGGGACAGCCAGGATCAACACAAAATGAAAGTTCCTTGTAGTGGATTTAATAACAGAACTTTCACACAGTCTGTCCACTTTGTTTTCAATGAGTATTAAGCTCCTGTCAATGAAACTCAACACTTCAAGCACAGATGTTTCCCATTTTTTTATCAGTATTTGACAATCTGGAAATGAGACTTAATAATCAACTCATCTTGCTCTGTTTTGATTGGTTGTTTTTCATCATTATCTGTCACATGTACTACTGT